AACTGAGCTAAATGGTTACTACATTCATTCCATTATTTGTGGAGAACACCGAATTTCCAAATCACCGGTCCTTGAAAGACTGCAAAGCATAAATTGGGAATAAGTGTTAGTCACTAAGTTCAACGGTATTTATACTTTGATTGAAAAAGATTCAGCATTACTACCTCAAAATTTTTAGACGCATCCTTCACCTGATCGGCAATTTCTTGCCTCTTTTGCTGAGCTGCAAGTACCAAAAACAAATGGTTATAACGGCATGAAAGATTCAAGAGGACAAGGGAAAAGATGGAAATACTAGTTACCCAATTTAGATAGATCCTCCATTCTCTTTGATGTCCTCACTGCAAATCTTTGAAAACTAGGGCTGAAATGAAGAGGAGGAGGCCTTTTAGTGGGTACATATTAAGAAAATAATGTCACAAGCATCACCCAAATTGCTAAAGGCACTTTATTTTGTTATTTTTTTTGCTCTAAGAATCAAAAAGTATATACAGTAAATTGAAGATGTTAGATGTAACACAGTACAAAATAAATTTTGAAAAAAAGACATTTCACACATATAGTTCTCTTCTTGACCAGTACCCACCCGTAGAATGGATATGAAATTCCTTAAGTCTCCTACGAGTTTGGGCTTCAGAATATATTACTGACTGTAAAGTTTCCGAAACCACTAAGATGGCTAAAAGAAATAGTGGCAAAAGAAGACTTTAATCCATTAGGCCATCACTTATTTAAAGCTAAGCTAACCATAACTTATCAGATTCCTTGTTCTTTGTTTAGTTAGAACTGCCCAAAAATGAAACATATATGACAACACACAACAAAACAAACCAGAATTGACGGAAGATCCTATTTCTTCCGGTCAAAGCAAAAGGCATCATATGCAAACAAATATACTTGTAAGAAGAATCATTTTCTCAACAAGGCACCAAGATTAATGAAGATAACACAGATTTTTGAGCTATCAAACAGATATCATCACAACCATTACAAACATACAAAATTAAGATAAGATGATGACCAGGCAGCCTTGGATCATCATATGTTTAGACATCGAATTACCATCATCTTCACAATCACTAGAAACATACATCAACACCAACAACATGCTCACAATTACGTTGCAAATAGAAGTCTAACAATAATCCCAAACAAAGGCCATAAACACAAATAGCCTCAAAATAGTAAACCCTAATGATATTAACCGAATTGCTAGTGAGGATGAAAAAGGACTAGCTTCAGTCTGTTAAAAGTTTATAGCAAAAAAATTGCTATCGTCTCGTCAACCATTAAAAGCGCAAGGAGTCATCATCAGCATGCACGCTATATTAGAACATGTAAAGATGAATGCAGTATTAGAACATGTATGATCAATAACAGATAGTCCCTAGTATATTTCCAGCTAAAATATGTTTTATGGGGGCCACTGTAGGCTATGCATCACCAACAAATCAATGACAACCTTCCATGCAAGATAAACCCATCTTAAGGTTTCTCATATTGACACACATCTCCCCATGTCAGAGGCGGACATACATTGAGAGTCATGTGCACCCATTAACCACGGAAAAAATCATGTACTTAAGTTTATATACCTTATGTACAGTATATATCGATTATGTTTGGGGGAATATTTGGTCTAGGCGGGTTCCCGTGTGTTCTCTTAGCTGGGTTTGAATCCTTGCACCTACAATGAGGGAGCTTATATTTTACATTTTGAGATTGAAAATGTCCTAAAGGGTGGAAAAGATTAAAAAATTGCGGCAAGCAGGATTTGAACTCAGAACTTTGTTGGGATCAAGTATAGCCCTATGCCAGTGGCACCTAAGGTGCTTTTACTAATTTCAGTTGCATGTTTAATTTGCAGACTCCGTTTTGTGGGATTATACGGGGTATATTGTTGTTATAGCATGTTTTATTTTGTATATTCGCATACAAACGGGGCCGCTATCAGAGGGGATTACTTGCATATTACCACATATAAAAACATAATTGACTATAAAAGAAATTCAAATTTGGATCATCAAACAACAGAACATTTGACTTGATCAATCATCATAAGATACGAGCATTAATCAAGAAAAAATTGCAGTGCAACAAAACCGTATAGACAATTCTTTTACAGGAGAATATATACAGCACGAAATTGATTACGCAAAGCCATATGAACTCTCCAAAGCATCAACCCTCCCCTCCCTTCCCCTCAATATCAGAGAAATATTGACCAAAATAGAATTAACTACCTGTTGGAGAGCCCATTAACGATCAATTCATTGGCGACATAAGAGATGACCCTATGAATGAAATTTCCTCCACCAGCCATGGCTGAGATTGGACAACTATACACAAATAAGAAAACAAATCAATATACATATACAGAAATATGAAACTCATACATTTTTCGCTATAATTGAAAAATCCCCTAAGATCGAAGAAACCCTAACCTGGTAAACGAGATATGGCCAAATCAGAAGGGGAAGAATAGTAACGAGGGAAAATTCAGCAGGGGAAATTGTATTTATAAGGTAATTGGATGAGTGGGCTTTGTGGCCCAATTTACGATGGGCTTAAAGGAATGTACCACGGCCCAGAATAGGGTCCTTCCACAACAGCAGAAAAAATTCTGCCCACTCTATATAATTAGTATATTTTATAAATTTTTTAAGAATAAATTGATGAATGTGTGTTAGTTTTGTATTCTTGTAATGTTAAGGACAGTAACATTAACTTTCATCCTCTTGATACACTTGGTCATGCTACATATTCAAATTGAAATAATAAAACTGTTATACGAAAGCTAATTGAGTTTGGAACCTAAATAAGTCATAAAAAAATAAAAGTCATCAAAATAAGTCATTATTTTAAGAAGTAATTAAAATAGATTTTAATAGAAGAAAAAAATTTCATTTTATTCAATATTCTAAACATTTTTCTTTAGTTCATAACGGATATATTTTAATATATAATGAAATTATTTCTTACACTTTACAAAATGTAAGTTTTTCTTACACTTTGCAAAGTAAAATTTTTTCTTACACTTTATATAGTGTAAGAAAAACTTACATTTTGTGAAGTGTAAGAAATAATTACGTTATATATTAAAATATATCCTTTATAAACTAAAGAAAAACGTTTGGAATATTGCATAAAGTTGAAATTTTTTCTTTCACTTAGCCTATTTTAGTTACTTTCTAAAATAGTGACTTATTTAATCACTTTTATTTTTTTGTGGCTTTAGGTTCCGAACTCAAGCTAACTAAATAAGTTATTTACGATGATAAGTCAAACAACAAAGGTAAAGAATAACAATAGTACCTTTTATCATATTTTTGTTAAAATCAAGTCCTCAATATAATTTTTTTTTATTTTTAACTAAAAATTTTGACTAAATCAAAGAAATTATTTATATAAAATATGCTCTTATAATATGTCATAAACAATATAAATCTAAATTAATTAAACCACGTATCATATGATTATGAGTTTTTATTATTGTGAATAGCTAAGTTGGGATAAGGACAAGTGGAGACGATATTTTATGAGGCTGAACAATTGATCAACGTAGTCATCACACGAGGCCTTGTAATTCTAAAGGACAAGTGGAGACGATATACACATAAAATTATTTGTACACTCCCTCTTTTTCTTGAATCTATAAAAAGAAAAAAAAATAGAAAGTTTTCATAAAATAAAAATGGTACACTACATATCTTTTACAGAATAATTATATATATTATTTACATAAATCAAATATTAGTTATTATGATTTATGAATATATTTAATTTACCATCTACTAGATCAGAGTCATCATAAACGAAGAATGATTCAGTGTACATTTTTTATAAAAAATCACGTAAGTTATAAAATCATATTATAAATATAAATTTGATTTTATAATATTCTTCTTTGTAGTATTTTTCGTTAAATTTCTGACTGGATCATCGCAGTAAAATATCAAAGACAAGTGTAGATGAGAATATAGGAGGCGAGTATTAATCCACGTAGCCGTGACAAGCTCTTTACTATATGACAAAATACACCGATTTAACCCCAACCCCACTCATGTTGATTAATCTATGACGTGTCAACATGTCATTGGCTATTCCTTTCTTAACCCTTCTAATTATGCTCTTTAATTTTATTAAGCCAAGTAGGATTGCCAATTGGCTTATCATAATCCTCTCTAACCTACAATTAGTTTTATTTTTTAATTAATGGAGTAACATCCTTCCCCACTAAGTAAACCAACCCAAAAAAAATTAAAAATACCCCCCATAACTTTCTTTTTAAAAAAAATCATTTCGATTCTACTAATAAATTGCTTGATCAAACTTTTAAAATTATGAAAAAAATTAAAAAACTATACTTTTAGCAAGAAGCAACTTATATTTGGATAATAAATTCAAAAATAAACGCAAGTGCTAGCTCTTTGCTAAAGTAGAAGCACACTAGTTTTTAAATTATGAAAATAACTTCTGTTACTCCCAAAAATACTTATATTTTCTTGTTAAAAAGTCTTGATTAAATAATAAATATTTAAAACTTAATTAAACAAAATATAAATTTAATAATACATTTTAAAATTCTAATAACTCAGTTGATTGACTTCGGAACGTTCGGGTTGGGGAAGTTTTATTTCCCGCGTCGGTGTAATTCCCTTTTCCATTGTCTCTAAACAAGAAAATAAATTAGTTGAAAGTTCACAAACACCACTTTTTCTTCTTATAAATAGAAGCACAACCCCTCCCTATCTTTTTAAACTCATATTTTTTTTCTATTAAAAAAGATCATAAACAAAATTATGACAGGAGGATCATGTAGTAGTCATGATGATAATTTTTTTGAGGTGTTTCTAGTAGGTTGGTTCATTAGACAAGAACAATTTCAAAATGAACTTGTTGTAGCACAAGATACTTTTGATGATCAAGAAAATGATATGAGAGGCCTTATTCATAGGGTTTTAGCTCATTATCAACAATATTATGAAGAAAAATCAAGAATGACTCATAGGAATGTTTTTAGAGTCTTTTCACCTACTTGGTTCTCTCCACTTGAAAGAAGCTTCTTATGGATCACAGGGTTCAATCCCGGCTTAGTTTTTAACCTGGTAAATTATCGAATCGTGTGACAATTTCATCTGATCATATAATTCATTATTATATTCGAATGTGTCATTTATAAATGACTTTTATAGAATTATGTGAGTATCATATTTAAATATTTGACTCATGAATTACACATGCTTATTTGTATTGTACATATCAGATTGAATTGTTTGATTTTGATTTATCTTATATTAATATTTGACTCATTCTACATGCTTGAAATATTCTTTTTTTAACAAAAATAATCACTTTTTAACTTTTTAAATATGAGATTTAATTGTGTGATCTAAATTTGACTCATTATACATGCTTATGTAAAGAAGTATCTACTATAAATCAAGTCGACTTTTATAACTATTTTATCTAAATATTCGATTCATTACGTATGCTTATGTGTTATTTATAAATGATTTTTTTAAAAGAAGGTCAAATACATAAATAGATTTTTAAATTTGTTAACTTTTTTTTCTCGTGATATCTCAACTAGGTCATTTTTCTATTGAATCATTCAACCATCCATAATTTGTTCCTTATTTAATTTGTAAAATACATTTTTCCAAAACAAAATTTTAACTTCTTCTCCGTTAATCATGCATCCTTTTTCATAAAAAAATTATTTTCAAATTTATAATCTTTTGGTAAAGAAGTCAATAATATTTTAGTCATTCTATTTCACAAAAAAAAAAACACATAAAATATATCAAACTAATCCATACGAGCTCTAATAAATTGTGATACTATATCATAAAAAGAAGGGACTTAAAAGTTTTATGAAGAGAGATACTTTGATTACAACATTTATTTATTTAATTATATCTTCGACAGGTAACTAATTCCATAAACGATTTGAGTGAACATCAAGTTGAAAGGCTCAACAGGTTGAAACAAGAGACAAAGGCTCAAGAAAGGTCCTTAACGAAGGAGTTGGCACAAATCCAAGAGAGTGTGGCCTCACCACCGTTGGTGGATCTAGCACGTCGATTAGGAACGCAACTTTTATACACTGACAATATAAACACAGATATCGAGGAGGTTGATGGAGACATAGACCAATTGAAGACGGCCTTGGAGAATGTGGTGACGGATGCTGATAGGTTAAGGACAAGAACAGCTGAAAGAGTTGTAGGGTTACTTAGTCCCTTGCAAAGTTTGAAGTTTTTGAGTGCTGTAGGTCAGCTCCAATTGAGGGCAAGGATGATGGGAATGGAAAGAGAAGTTGAGAGGCAACAACAAAGAAATGAAGATACAAATGGATGGTGAAATACTTCCTGCCGTCTGCTTGTTCGAATTCTTCAAAAATATGTATCGTTAAGTCTGATATACAATATATAGATATTTGGTTGTTTGAACTCTTTAAAAATATGTATTATTGAGTCTGATAATATATAGGTACTTGGTTATTTGAACCTCTTCGAAAATATGTGTTGTTGAGTCTGATAATATTTTTGAAGAATATGAATGAGTTAATTTTGAATATTTTGTTGTAGTAGATTCTATAGGAAACTAGAGGTCGTGTAATAAATAATTAGTGTGAAGTTGAGGAAAAAATGCTTAGGAATATTGATTTTTTCTTATCGTGTTGGTCATTACGAGAAGATACACGTCATTACGTTGGAGATAAATACTATCAATTACTCCCTACGTTCCATCGGTGGAAAATGAGATGCGGGGTTTTGAATATATGAAGAGGAGATGCATGAAAGATCAGATATGAATAATAAAATAGATAGAGATAGATCGAAGCAGTACAAAGTGAAGCGATTAATTAAAACATGATACACATTTATAACTAACACGATAAATTCTTAAATATGAGGTTATAAAGGACATGAGTAGTATCATAATGCTATAGTATTTCTTTTTATAATTCTTGTCCTTAGATTTTTGTTACTATTTAATTATATCTTTAATTTTAATTATCGCACTAGCTATTTTGTTACGATTGACTGCTTTTTTTTGTTACGTTTTTGTCATGATTTTTTCACAACTAATGTTAACTTTCCCATTTTCAGTTAATTCAATTAGTTTGTTAGCATGTTCACGTGGTTAGTTAGGATTGCATTCTGTTAGTTAGTGTGTGTGTATGTGTATGTGTGTGGAAAGTGTGAGTGGAAGATAGAGGTTGTTACTGCATTTCTGTGTATATATACACCATTTGCAGCATCTGTATGGGAACAGTTTTCACTAGAATAACATTCCTTCTTCTTCAATTCTTCTTCTTTTTCAATCGACTTGTTCTTAGAAGCATCAATGAAGCAATTTCAAGCTTCCAGATAGAGTTTTTTCATGGTATCAGAGCAGCAGTAGATAGTGATCATATAAGCTGCAAAGAAGACAACAATGGCTATAGGAAGAATCGATCCAAATGATCCTCTTTACATAGGACCATCAGATGCTTCAAGTGCAGTTTTGATTCCAATCAAACTCACAGGGCCTGAAAACTATGGAGTGTGGAGTAGATCGATGAAGATTGCTTTGACAGGAAAGAGGAAAATTGGATTTGTTACAGGAGCTTGTAGCAGGGCTTTGTATAGAGATGAGTTACATGAGCAATGGGAGACATGTAATGCAATCGTATTATCATGGTTGATGAATTCAGTTAATGAAGATCTGTTAAATGGAATAGTGTATGCTACTAGTGCTTTTACAGTTTGGCAAGACTTGAAGGAGAGGTTTGACAAAGGCAATCGAATGAGGATCTACCAATTGCACAGAGAAATCAACACACTCTCACAAGGTACTGAATCTGTTTCATCATATTACACTAAACTAAAAAACCTGTGGGGGGAATATGATGCACTTGTACCATCTCCTAGTTGTGCTTGCCCAAAGTCCAAAGAGTATGCTGATCATCTGTACCAGCTCAGATTGATTCAGTTTCTTAGTGGTTTGAATGAATCGTATGAACAGGCTAAGAGACAGATTCTGCTTAAAGGTGTTACTCCTACAATTAATCAAGCTTATGCTATGATTATAGAAGATGAACTACAACAACAAACTGCTTGTGTGTCCATTTCTAATAAAGTTTCTGATGTAGTTGCTATGAGTGTTAACAAAGGAAACAATTATAATCAAGGAAATCAGAACAATAAGGGAAGGAGATGTGAACATTGTCAATACACAGGGCACACTAAAGAGAATTGTTACAGATTAATTGGCTATCCAGCAGATTGGAAACACAGAAAAAGGTCTGGATTTAACTCAAGGTCAGGCCAAATGAATTCTTCATATGGAGGAAATGGTCATAACTATGTTGGAGAGGCCAACAATGTAAGCAAAGAGAACTCTGGAGAAGCTTCTACTAGTCATCATGAAGTAAACAATGCTTTTGTGGCTAGAGGACATGCATTTACTGATGGAGAATACAAGCAAATAATGGATATGTTGGGAAAGGATAAAAAGGAAGTGAAACAGGTCAACATGACAGGTATGGCAAATTGTTTTTCAGCTAATATTGCCTCTCATTGTTGGATAATAGACTCTGGTGCTTCTCATCATATCACAGCAAATGAGCATTTACTAAAAAATAGTAAGTGTATGGCTGGTTCTCATCAAGACAAGGTGAACTTACCTACAGGTGACAAGGCTTCTATAACACACATAGGAGACACACATTTGTTTAACAATGAAGTAATCAAAGATGTGTTGTGTGTACCTGAATTCAAGTTCAATCTATTGTCTGTGTCACAGTTAACTAGGGAGCTATCTTGTTTTGTCACCTTTTACCCTGAGTTCTGTATATTTCAGGATCTTTACAGTGGCAGGGTGAAGGGGATTGGTAAGGAAGAAGGGAGCTTATACATATTCAGAAATGATTCTAGCATGAAGGACAGATGTGAAGCTCAAAATCCTCAAAGAATGGTTGCAGAAGTATCATTACAAGACTGTGAGTTGTGGCATAGAAGGCTTGGACATCCATCAAACCAAGTACTACATGGTTTAAATCTGTTACATGATAAAAACACTGATTTGCTTACTAGTTGTTCAGTCTGTCCATTAGCTAAGCAAACTAGGAGTTCATTTCCTATTAGTGTTTCAAAAACCTTTAAGTGCTTTGAACTTGTACACATGGATCTTTGGGGACCATACAAGGTTCCCACATTTGATAAGAAATACTACTTTCTTACAGTTGTTGATGATTACAGCAGATATACTTGGATACATTTGTTACAGCTCAAGTCTGAAACTATAGTAGCTATAAGGAATTTCTTTACTTTGATAAAGAATCAATTTGGATGTATCATCAAGATAGTAAGGTCAGACAATGGAACAGAATTCTTCAACTCTCAATGCAAAGAATTGTTTACAAGCCTGGGCATTATACATCAAAGTAGTTGTCCTCACACACCACAACAAAATGGTGTAGTGGAGAGGAAGCATAGACACATATTGAATGTAGCAAGAGCCATCAGATTTCAGTCTTGTATGCCACTTAGATTCTGGGGAATTTGTGTTCAAGCAGCTGTATATTTGATTAACAGATTACCATCATTCAATCTCCATAACAAAAGTCCTTATGAAATGATGTTCTCTAAGCCTCCTAATATCAGTCATTTAAGAGTTATGGGCTGTCTTGGTCATGCTTCTGCTATTCCTAGAATTGATAAGTTTTCAGAGAGGGCAAAACCTGTGATCATGATGGGATATCCAGAAACTCAGAAAGGTTATTTGTTAATGGATTTACAGACTAGAAGGTTTCTAGTCAATAGAGATGTAGTGTTTCAAGAACACATATTTCCTTTTGCCACTTCAAAATTCTCACAAAAACCTGTCAAGGACTTGTTACATGATAGCTTTGAAGAAGAAACTGATTATGAAGAGACAACTTCTGATGATTGTGTATTAGCAGGCACACAGGTTTCCACTAACTTGAATGATGTTCCTAGTGAAGTGTTGCATATTCAGAATGAAGAGATGGTAGTTTCAGAGTCCACTATTGATTCAACTTCAGCTAGAAAGTCATCTAGACACACTAAACCTCCTATTTGGATAAAGGATTACATGACTACTGCTATTGGACAGAATAATAAGTATTCTTTGGCAAATCATCTTAGTTATGATCATATGTCCTCAAAGTATCATAGCTATCTAGCCAATTTCTCAGATTCAGTAGAGCCTCATACATTTGGTCAAACTAGTAAAGATCCAAGATGGATTGAGGCCATGAAGTTGGAAATTCAAGCCCTTGAAGATAACAAGACTTGGTTAGTGGCTGTTGGTTCTAAATGGATTTACAAGATCAAATACAAGGCTGATGGAAACATAGAAAGATTTAAAGCTAGACTTGTAGCTAAGGGCTATAGTCAACAAGAAGGATTGGATTATCATGACACATTTTCACCAGTAGCAAAAATGGTGATTGTTAGATGTGTCATTGCAGTGGCTGTTTCAAAAGGGTGGTCTCTTTATCAAATGGATGTGTACAATGCCTTCTTACAAGGAGATTTGGATGAGGAGGTATATATGGAAATGCCTGATGGTTTCAGAACTCAAGGATCGACCAAAGTCTGTAAATTGCTCAAATCTTTGTATGGACTC